CCTTCCCCCCCCCCCCAGCTAAGCCACTGTAGATGTATGAGCCACATTGCCTAATCCCGCCACCCCCCAAACAAAACAAAACGAAAACAAACCAAATTTCCTGAAAGAGACCTACCCTGGGGTGAATTTTGGCACGTGTAACTGAACAAGGCGGGGTTTTTGTTTTTTTTGCTGGGGAGGGAGTTACAGGAGGAATGGCGTTGGAAGGCTGCCATAGTCTTATCTAAACAATAGCTATGACCTTCCTAAACAGTGGTTGTATTGATATCACTTTCATTTCAGTTTTCAGAAGAAAACAGGTGACTTCACTGATACAATGCTTGTTAAAGGTTTGAACAACAGATACCGTGTGTTAAGAGTGAATGTAGTACAGAAAAAGGGAGAAGATCCAGAAATGCATTTGACAATTGTGGCATCTCAATCACCTGAGGATACAGAACTATGCATTCTGAGGAATGACTGGTAATTGATATCTAGATATAAAGATTTTTTGTAATGAGAATATTTTGGTTTATTAAGTAAATTCTTTGCATGCTCACTTCCATTATTTTAAAAGTGAAAACTGCACTCAGTTAATTGAATATGGTATTACTGCCATGCTGGTTTTGTTTGTTAATATCTAACTGAGGGCAGTTAGTATCTAGAATAAACTGTATTGTTACCTTACATTTTTCACATAGTTTAGTCATGGTAAAATAATATGAATAAATATTTAAAATAGTGAAACTTGAACCATGTGGCTTTATGTTCACTATGCTGACTAGAGCAGTTAGCATTATTTTGGGAATACAGATTCACAGAAGTTTAGGGCTGGAAGGAACCTGGTGAGATCATCGGGTGCAGCTCCCCCCCCGCTCTGTGCAGGAAAGACTGCTGGGGTCAAATAACCCCAGCAAGGTGTGCATCCAGTCTCCTTTGGAAGATCTCCAGGGTAGGTGCTTGCACCACCCCTGCTGGGAGTCTATTCCAGAGTCTGGTCACATGAACCGTGAAGAAGTTTTTTCTTGTATTCAGTCTGAAACCTTCTAGGAGTTTATGATCATTGCTCCTGGTTTTCCCCTGGAGTGCTTTGGTGAATAGTTGTTTGCTTAGCCCCTGATGCTCTCCCCTGATAGATTTGTAAGCTGCCACCAAATCCTTCTGGAGCCTTCTCTTTTCTAGGCTGAACAGTCCCATATCTGTCAGCCTTTCCTCCTATGGCTTACTCTTCAGGCCTCTAGCTTAACTGATAAATATACAAAGAACTGGGTATTATAGGTTGACATTGTTGCCTACCCCTGATATATGATTTTTGGCCGGAGTGTCGAAAACACCACAATGCCTACCTTGGAAGATGCTGGAGTGCCGGCATGCCAGAGAAGCAAAATGAGGGCGGGGGTACGTGGCAGGATGCCCTGCTTATGCCTCCTGCCTGGGCTGCTCCCAGCAGGACTTGTAGTTTTCCAGCTGCCTGCTGGCAGTAGCTACCCAGAGCTGGGGCTGGCTGCAGCTGGGAGGCTCCAAACAGCTGTGCTGGGCTCCAGAGCCCCAGGCATCAGCTCTGTACCAGTGTGTGCACCTGCATGTCGGAGCAGGTGGTGGGGGAGGGGCCTGAAGCAGCACAGTGCTGGTCTCTTCCCCTGTTCCCAGCACAGAGCTGGTGACTGGGGTCTGGGCGCCAGCGCAGCTGCTTGCAGCCTGCCAGCTGCTTGCTGCAGCTGCCCAGAGCCCAGGCTAGCTACAAACAGCTGTGCAGGACTCTGGAGCCCAGTCACCAGCTCTGTGCCAGGACTGGGGGAGACTGGGGTTGCGCTGCCTAAGGCCCCTCCCCCTCACCTTCTCTGAGGCGCACCTGCCAGTACAGCTGAGCCCGGCACAGCTGTTTGGAGCCTCCTGGCTGCAGCTGGCCCCGGCTCTGGGTAGCTGCTGCCAGCAGGGAGCCCGGGCTGCTCCCAGCAGGCAGCTGGGACACTGCAAGCCCTGCTGGGAGCAGCCTGGGCTCCATTGCTGGCAACAGCTACCCAAAGCCAGGGCTGGTCATGGTGTGCCGAGCAAAATGGCCTCACGTGCCATGCTTGGCAGGAGTGCGGGTGGTTGCTGACCTTTATTGTATACCTTGACTTCCAAAAAGGCCTTTGATCTAGTGTCCTGCGATGTCCTCACAGAAAATTGGAGGATTGTGGGCTTAACTCTGAGACAGTCAGGTGGCTGAGAAACTGGCTGCAGGATAGAACCCAGAGAGTTGTCGTGAATAGATCTGTCATCCTGGCGAGAAGTGGGCAGCAGTGTTCCAGGTGCTCGGTCCAGTACTTCCAGTGTTTTTAAGGATTTGCATGTGGGGGTGAACAGCTCACTGGCCAAGTTCACAGATGACACCAAGTTATGGGGGAGTGTGGTCATGCTTGAAGATAGGCTACAGATACAGGTGGACCTAGACAGGCTGGCAGATTGGAATTTGATGAAGTTCAATGTTGAGAAATGTAAAGTGCTCCACCTTCGTATGAGCAACTCCCAACATACCTACAGGCTTGGCTGCACCAAACTGACTAGCACCATGAATGAAAGGGATCTGGGGGTAATAACAGACCACGGTATGAACATGAGCCAGCAGTGCAATGCTGTACCCTTTAGGGCAGATAATACTCTGGTATGCATCAATTGATGCATCTTCAGCAAAACCAAGGAGGTAATTCTTCAGCTCTACTCAGCACTGGTGAGACTGCAGCTGGATTACTGCATCTAGTTTTGGGCACCATGCTTAAATGAGGATGCGGACAAGCTTGAGAGAGTCCAAAGAAGTGCCACCCATGTGATCAGAGTCTTACATGGCACGCCATACAAGGAAAGGCTGAGGAAAAGAAGGCTGAGAGGGGACCTGATAGCAGCTTACTGCTACACTAGGGGAGTACATCAAGGGCTCCGTGTGCAACTGTTCACCAGGGCACCCGAGGGGAAAACCAGGAGTAATGGCCACGAGCTCCTGGGAGATCGATTCAGGCTCAACATTAGGAAAAACTTCACAGGGTGTTCAGACTGTGGAATAAGTTCCCTCCAGAGGTGGTGCAATCACCTACCCTGGAAATCTTCAAGGAGAGACTAGACAGTCACTATGCTGGGGTCACCTGACCCCCAGTTATCTTTCCTGCTTGGTGCAGGGGCTCGACCTGATCTTCCAAGGTCCCTTCCGGCCTTACAATCTATGAACCTATATGAACTGGGTAATTCAACTATGTTAACTTAGTTCCCCTGAAAACAGAAGTGGGCAAATAGTTATTTACATATTTATCAGCCTAAGTATGCGTATGCCTGTGGCAAGACACTGTGTGCGCCTGCCACTTTAAGGGCCTGGAGCTGGCAGCCGCCAGGTGCTTGATGAGGGCAGCCACTTTGGCTCTGGGTCTGCCCATATAAACACGGCAGTTCTGTTGCTGGAGGCCAGGCGACAACATTGCCTGGCTGGAAGGCTGCTGATATCATCTGGAGATAAGGAAGGAGCTATAGGGGATGGTAAGGAGGCTCCTGGTCCTGGGCATAACCTAAAGCTGCACCTGCTGGGAGTGGGTAGCCTGGTGGGGCTCCCAGTGGTGTGGGAGTCCCCAGGAAATGCCAGGCCAGTTACCACCCCAGTGAAAGGTAGGTCAGGGTGCCTTAACCCCTAGCCCCCACAACTGGGTGGGTTACCCCTTTGTGCAGAGAGCCTGGAGGGTGGACCCCTGGAGAGAGAGAAAAGGGCCATAGACTCAGGCCTGTCTGAACTTTCCCTGACTGGTCAATGCTGGGACCAGGACCGGAAGGGTCGAAGGGCCGGGGGGCCCACTGCGAGGAAGGCCCAAGGGCCTGGGGTTCCGACTGGCCTGGAGGTGGGCCAGGGCTAGTGAGCCAAAGGTCCTGGTGGGGGGATCACACCTGAAGGGGAATTGGTTCAGGGAGCTATGCTGCCCAGTATGAAGGCAGAAGAGACTGCCTGAGGAGAGTGATCCAGGTGTGGGTTCAATAGTAGGATTCTGGGGCCCAGTGTGGGGGCTGGTGATTATGAGAACTATAGATGCCATCAGCAAGGCTTGGGCTGCAGTGTAGGGGAGGAATGGAGCTGCAGATAGTGTCCCCTGGCATCGGGGCAGGAAATGGGGAGCCTCCCACTTATTAAGATCTATTTAACTAATTAACAACAAGGCATGGCGGGTGAGAACGTGGGTGGTTAGCCCAGGAACAGGTGGGCAGGCCACAGCGAGATTGGCCCCGAGCAGGCCCCCTGTTACAATGCCCCAGGGCCACAAGACCAGAGCCTCTAACTGGTACTGTCTGTTGGAGGTATGCATGTGTCCTTTGCCTTTTTATGTAACCATAAAAGATGGGAGTGACTGTGGCTCCCTCAGTTTCCTCTTGCCACCTGTGACAGTGACTTTATTTTGATCTTGGAATATATGCTCTTCATAGTGTTTTTGGGTCTTACACACAGTTATTATAGTTACTGCCTTTTAGGAATTCTGTTCCAGTAGTTCCAGGAGACATCATTCATTTAGAAGGAGAGTGCAACTCTGGTACTTGGATAATAAATGGAGAGTCTGGATACTTAATTCTGTTCCCAGACTTGCTGCTTTCTGGCACCACAGTATCAAATAGTATTCGATGTATGAGAAAAGCAGTGCTGAGCGAGAAGTTTAGGGTAAGTGTTAAAATCGCGGAATAGAAAATGTTTTGGAAAAATCATTTGTTGCATTCCAAATTTCTCACTTTTGGGTGAGATGGCTGTTGTCCAGTAGTAAGACTTGACACTTTCCATTATAAGGTCCTATTTTCAGATGTTTATAACTCTGCCAAACTTTAATCATTTGGGATAAAATGTTATACTGGTGGGTGTTTGCCTCAGGTTGAAGTCTTTGCTAAAATGTCAGCCAGAGTGGATAATCTGTTCTTGAAAATAAGGGAGGGAGGTTGAGAGACGGAGAATAGGTTGTACCAATACTAAAAAAAAAAATAAATGTCAACCTGATGCTTAAGATCAATGATTTTAAATTTGACAGAGGTATGGAGCGTGTAACATAGATGCTCTTTTCCTTGTCCCTGTGAAAATCCAAAAAAAAAGTGACAAAGTTTATAAGCCTTTGAAAATTACTATCCACATGTTCAGTAGAGACTCCTAGAACTTCTCTGCTAAGTTACTTGCATGCTTCAGCACTGACCTGACCAGGAATTTCCCTGCATTTGTCCACTTTGGGGTCCTGCAGGTGAGGGTTCCCTCTAGAACTGGAAAAGGGAAACTGCAGTTTCAAAGCTCTTGTTGCCTAGTCTGGTAGAAGAAGCGGCCTGTTTCAACTGCCAGGTACCCAAAAGACAGTCTTACAAGTAGTGGTGAACTGGGTGAGGCTGAAACTAAGAGTTGGATGGTTGGAGAGAGGAATGAGGGAGCTACTGAGGCAAAGGGATAGAGGTTATAACAAACTTCAGGAATATCTAAATGAGCTGGCTAAGTGAGGAAGACGTGACTGAGACAAGGAGCCTTGGGAAAGGTAAGAAGTCGGACTTTGAGGGGAAATAGTAGAAGGATCTGACCTGTAGAGAACACTTCTTTCCTAAGTAGAGAATGCAACCCACTGCTGCTGGTCTTTCCTTTTTAACCCAGTCCTAGGATCATATGAGCAGTTATCTGTGGCTAAATGTCCCATCTGAAGTATTTGTCCTAGAGGACCAAAACTTACTGCTACTTTGGTTCACCATTACGCTCATTGGCAGAGGCCTCTGTAGTGGATCTAAAGAGTCTAATCTTGCTGATGTTGAATTGACAACCTTACCATGATATTGCCTTTGTTTGTTTGTTTTTTAAGCAAACCAAACTACAAAGCAAAACATTAAAAATTTTCACAAAGAATAGTGTGCTAAGAATAATCAGTCACATGTTTATACTAGGAAATACCAGAATTAAGGCTGGCTACCAAAACTAGTGGATTCCTTTGATCTCAAGTTTTGTATTTCCATTTTCTGATATGAAAAATGGTGATAATACGGCTTATCTCATAAAGGTGTTGTGAAAACAAATGGCAAGGCTTGACTCTAACACTACTTTTTATATAGTTTATTTTCCTTGTATACATTTTCAATATTGGTTGGTGTGCAGAAGTTTGAGAATGGAGACTTTTCTTAGCAGGCTTAACCCTGTGGAAACAAACTATCTGCCCCAAAGATCTCATGGCCAAAACAAGTCTAAAACGGACTTCCAAACTGCAATATCCTTTTCTACCCAGTCCGGATGGGTAGCCTTTGAGAAAAGGTGTAAACTAGTACACACAACTCTTATTTTTTTCCTGTCTAAAGCAGTCTTCTATGTCATCTGGTTAAGCTGAAAGGCCACCTGGGACTTTTTTTATAAACCTTTTCCTTGTGTGATACTGGCCGTTTGTATTGATCAAATTGGATATTAATGGTGGAAGTGGAACTGGGTGTGTCTGTATATTCCATGAATTATCAGTCATCATTCACTCACTCTGATGGCAAACTTGTAATTAGGGTTGTCACCCAATTACACTAGGGCATAAAGTTATTTTGTATGTACATCTTGCTAAAACTTACTACTGTATGATTTTTATATTGTAGAGTTGTGAGTCTGGTTCACGTCAAATGCTGGTTGGCACAATCCTTCACGAGATTTTCCAACAAGCAATAACTAATAATTTGGCAGCAGAAAAAGTACAAGAACTGGCCTTCAAAATTGTCTATGGACCAAAATATCTAAAAGAATTGTAAGTAAAATTGTGGTCAGACTTGGAGAGTGCAGAGCAATAAAGTAGTTGTGCACCAGATTAAATGTCCCTGCAATATAACTCTTTTAAAAATTCCAAGTATTCAGAGGAAAGTTTATAATATTATTTGAACAGTACAGAAAGATGCAACTTCCATATCTAGAAGTATTTAATTTGAGTTCAGTAGCTAAATTGTCATGCAAAACTAGCCAGGCAAGACAAGCATGTCTGTTTCTGGGATGTTAGATGTTTGTGATAGTTGTGCAAAGATAAGCTTTAACATGAATGAATACGTTATCCCTAGAAAGCAACCAGAGGTGTTAATTGACAAAATAGTGGGGCTTTTGTAGTTTTGCATTCCTTCTCTAGTTAGGAGCTGAAGCTGTTGTTGCCACAACAGCTGCTGCACAGGTAGCCTGGGACCAGAAGCAACCCTGGCTGGAGCAGGACCCCAGCTGGAGCCAGAGCTGTGACAGGAATGAAACTAGCAGTGTGGGCAGGAGAGGAGACAGCGGGGCTGGAGGCAGGTGCCAGGGGGTGCAGGGACAGAGTGCAGGGAAGTGGCAGGGGCACAGGCACTAGGATGGAAGCAGGGGGAACGGTGCAAGTGTGGGGGGTAGGCAGTAGGGCATACAAGCACAGTGGTAGCAGGGCACAGCAGAAGGGCTAAGTGGTGGGGGGGGACAGGTGGCAAGGGGCAGGGTTCAGGCCACTTTACTTTCCACTGCTTACCCTGCTGCACTACTGGGGACGTGCACACAAATATAAGACAACTCCAAAAATTGCATTCTAGACATGAAATATTATAATATTATATTCTCATTACTTCCTGCTCAGCCATGAGTGGCCTTTGATCACAAATGAGGATGAGATTTAGGCATACTGAGCAGGGTCCTTCTTCCACTTTTCTTTCTTTTGTGGTAGACATCAGATAGGCCATCTGACAGGCAACCTGGCTCTGTTGTTTTAGTTCAACACCTCCTCTTGGTAAGAGGCTAGTAGGTTTGGTCTTTATCCTGCAAAAACTTGGAAAACCAAGGTAGGAGAAAATGAGTTCAATTATTTTTTTGCTTCTTTTTTTCCCGCTTCTTCTAAGGTGTCTATGAAGGCTCGTTGTCCACACTATCAGTTGAAAATGTCTCTATGAATGTATACATATAACTTCCTTGAAATCTCCCCCTGCCATCCCCTTCATGCTATGAAATAGTAGTATTGCAGTTAAAACTGCAAGAATCATAGGTAACAGGAATAAAAAGCTGTCATATAGCTTTAGTGGGCAAGTTTTTTTAGGTTTTGTTTTAGTAGTGAAATTTTTGGTACAGCTGAAAAAAGATTTTCAGAAATGCACTGAACTTCCAGTCTGAATGATGGTATAATGAAACTAGGGTTTTGTTATGTTAGAAATTATATCGACATCCTTTAGGATAGGGCAGGCAAAATACCGCCTGCAGGCCGGATCTGGCCTGCCAGGCCATTCTATCTGGCCTGTGGGGCCCCTAAAAAATTTAGAGTATTATCTGCCCCTGGCTGTCTGTCAAAGATGACAAGGCACCAGCAGGGTCCAGAAGGAGCTGGCAGCAGGACCTAGTAGCTGCAGCAGCAGGGCACCTACCTGGCCATGCCCCACCCCTAGCCCCCACCTGGGAGTGTGTGCCTAGCAGAGGCTTCTGCCTTTGTGACCCTGGGGCTACTCCCCGCCTCCCTCTGCATGAAAGCTAAGAATGGCAGGGGAGGAGAGGACAGCCGGCAATTGCCCCAGTCCTTGGGGCTGGGCTGGCTCCTGCAGTCCCAGTGATGGAATTGGTGAACTATGTGGTTCCAGAGTTGCCGACTGGGTGGGAGGGTGTGGAGAAGTGGTGGGTAGGAAAGGGGCAGTGGCACTAGGTGGCGGGGAGTGGCAGCAAGCCAGTGGGAGCACATCAACAGCTGGGCAGGAGTGCAGGGTCTATGCCAGTACCATGGGGCCAGGGCTGATGGGGTTCCAGGGTGGGGTGGCAGAAGCAAAGGGCCCTGGCTGGCAGAGCTCTATGGAGCCAGACTGGGCTGTGCTGGCACAGAACAGGGAGCTGACCTAACTCTATAGAGCTCCTGCCAGCCTGGGCCCCATGCTCCTGCTGCCATGCCCTGGGCCCCCTCTGGCCCTGCCTCTGGGGCACCAGCGCAGGCCCATGTTCCCGCCTAGCTGTTGCTGTGCTCCTGCCTGCCTGCTGCCACTTTGCCCTCTGTTTGCTGCTGCCACCACCACCACCATTTACCCCTTTTCTGCCCACTGCTACCGCTCCTTTGCACCCCCTGCCTGCCAGTCAGCCACACCAGCACTACGTGGTTCCTGGCTGCATTGCAGGACACAGCAGGAGTTGGCCTGGCCTCGCCCCTGTGGTCCTTGGCTGGCTCTGTGCAGTGCTGGCCAGGCCGGGCTGGCTCCTGCTGCATCCTGCGGTCCCAGCCATGCAGCTGGGAACTATGTGGTAATGGAGTGGTGGGTGTTGAGGGGTAGAGGGGGTGCGGATGGGAAGGTAGGGAGGCAGCAAGAGAAGGGCAGTAGTGGCAGACAGGAGGGGGAGGTGGCAGTGGGTGGGCAGGAGCATGGGGCCTGTGCTCGTGCCCCAGGGCCAGGAGCAGCAGGAGTGCAGAACCTGGGCTAGCCATGAGCACCTTAAGGCCTCATGCCATGGGCCATGAGCACCCTAAGGCCTCATGGCCTCCTGCTGCTGCTGGTGGCAGGGGGCTGTGGGCAATGAGGGAGGGTGTGTGTGTTCATAGGGCAAGTCCCACACCTCACCATACACATGTACCCACACCCCAGCCGTCCTCCCCCTCTACACATGCCACAACTATCCCCAGTCACCTTCCCCCACAAACCCCACACTCCCCCACATATCCACACACACCCATACCCCTCCATTTCCCCCCACCACCAATATACCAAAATAAGACTTAATTTTATACTATTATACAATCACCTCTATGTATAAAATGCAAACGCATGTAAACCAGGACAAAAATATTTTTTGAAATCAAATTAATGAATGTTGTAATAGATGTTTGATTTTTAGAATATAATTTGGTATTTTTCTAGTTTCAAGATGGCAAACTCCCTTGCTGAAAGGAGTACTTTTGGGGGCAAGGGGAGGGACTTCTGGTGGCAAAGTTCATTGGGGGTGGGACTTCCAGTCCCCAAATGGCAACTGGAGGCTACCC